CCTGCTCAGCTCCACCCTCCCTTGGGTGGGGTGGGAACCTGGAACCTCCCCCTTTCCTGGGGACCACCCTGTTACAATTTCACTCCTATATGGATGATAGAGAAACAAAACAAATGAACAAACAAAACAAACCAAAAACAACATCTTAGTCTGTAAGAACAAAATATTTGCTGCCAGAGGGAAACAGGAAAAGGGGCTGAGGAATTTGGGTGAAGGAGTTCTTGTATGGTGAAGAATAGAAACTGTTTATTCAAATGTTAATTTTTAATGTACACCAAAACCTATCGCTATATAATGGTACAAACCAGTGGAACTTCAGTAAAAATTAAAAGAAAATGAAGTGAAACACAAAGATGTTTATTAGAGCTCATGAAATTTGTGATAATTCCGAAGCTCCATTTGTATATATATGTAAAAAAGTAAAAGCTATTCTGAGATATTTTGACTTGCTCTCTTATATGCAATCCTCATACTTTTCCTTTTTTAAATTTTTTCTCCCTCAGCAGTTAATTTTTAAAAACAATGGAATCAACTGATGGCCTATGAAGGGACATTTCAAGGTCTTAATTTCAGAGGACATTTATTCTGATTGCTGTGTGTTCTTTACAGTTTTTGCTCTAATACATGGGAGTCAGAATCTCCAAGATGGATGAGGGTTGCTCAAAGACCCACATTTTGATGCAAATTTCCTAAGTCATCCTAAATTCCAGCCACTTCAAAATTCATGGAGCAAACCCAAAGATGTAAAATTGTGGAGAAAAGGGAAATGATTTCCTTAGAACAAGAAAATGACACCTCAGGCTAAATTCAACCTTGTAAATACAATGAAAAACCAGCCACATTCATTTGTTAATTGTCCTTGGCTATCTCCTTGCTGTAGTGCAGATTTTAGTAGTTGCAAAAGGAACTACAATATATGGTAAATAAAGTTTGAAATATTTATTCTTTGAGGAGAGAGAAATTTGTCAATCCTTGTTCTACAGTCATGATTTGTAAACATTCAAGCGCAGCTTCTCTGGCATAGGGAGGGTGAAGAAAGAGATCTGAGCCTGTGTTCTTCTTCCCTTATCAGGTCTCTGAATCTACAGAAAATAAGGGAACTTTTTAGAGTTTGAAAATCAGTGAATTTATCTTTAATTGCCCCATCAATATTAGCTTGCTAATGCTGTTAATAACATTTATATCAGAAATAATAATAATTCAGGGTCAGTGATATAAGCGATGATTGGATAGTTCGTTAAGTGGAACAAACATTATTAAGCAGTCTTTGTGGTGGAACCATAGCTGGGGGAGGCGTGAGGTATGGGGGTGTAAGAGTGCAGCAGAGATGGAGTAGAGAACAGAAAAGGAGGATTTATTGAAATACCCTGCAAGGGAACAGGGGGCAAGAGGGAGCTATACAGCTGTGTGTGAAGGATTTGAGACTTTTACACTAGGGTTCCATAGGGTTTCTTACTTGGGGAGCCAGTTTGCACGGGTTATCGGCTGGGGTGTCTGCTCTTGGGTGCAGACCCTTGACACAGACACATGTGCAGGCCCTGCCTCTGCATTCCTGGAGTTGGGCTGGTTTATCTGCCATGGCGGTCAGTCTAGCGGCCCAGTTCCCGTGGCAGCCTTATTGATGCCCTTCTCTGCTCAAGTCTCTCAAACATGACTGTGGGGTAAGAGTGAGAGCTTAGTTTTTAAACTTATGAAATGACACCCTGACACCCGTGTTGGGCCAGATGTATACTGCAGGAGTGACAACATAATCCTTTCTCTGGAAATCACAGTATTTTCTTTCCTTTTTCCAGAATTTATACTATTTTTGCTGATTTGATGGGCTCATGTTTTAATATTTGGTAATTAAACATGGTTTTGACAGGGAATGAGTAATAAAAAAATAAAGCAACCCAATTCAACCCCCTTTTGCTCTTTTGATTGTACCATAACTTACAACTTAATTGTCAGAAATTCTCTCTTAAGAAAATGTAGAATTGCTTCCGTGTTTAGCCTTTGGGGATTTGGGGTTCCCCTTTTGGTAATTTACTTGACACTTACTGATATAAGAGTGTTAAGTCATAAAGTGCATGCTTTGAATTGTTTCTGTCAGTAGAGACTTCCAAATTTAATGGATGCAGACAGGTGAAGACCAAGAAGAGGGAATGTAAATCGCATATAGGAAATTATCCACTGTGGCAGAAAAACAGAAACCAAATGGTGGGGTAGTGTTAAATAAGGTTAAAATTAAGCCCCTACCCCTTGCCCAGCAGGAAGGTTTGGGAGGCTTGAACACAGAGAGAACTGATGAGGCTGCTCTGGGTCCCAATCCGTAAGATGGATCCCTTTGACCAGGAATGTGGAGGCAAGGCCAGGACACATTCTGGGTCAAAGATCAAGCCCCCAGGATCAGACACCCCTGTACTAACCAGCCCAAAACTAACTCCCCAAAGCAAAACTGACAAACTATTTATAAAAGGGAGCCCAAAATCTTTCTTCACTTGCAGATCTTTCCTGTCTCCCTAGCTGCTTCTCTTAGCAGTGTATTTGAACAAATGTGCCTTTTCTGTTCTCCAGTCTGCCTCTGGTGAAATTTTTCACCCCTGCACCTCTGGTCTGTCAAGGTATCGTTAAGAATTTGAAAACCAAGCCCCCACTCCTTGGCCAGAGGCAAGTTTGGGAGGCTGGAATGATAAAGGGAGTGGATGGAACTGCCATGGAAACATGGACCTTAAGCTGGTGAGGCCCAGAACTGATGATCCTCTATGCTGATTCAGATCATCAGTCAGGACACACCCAAGACTAGTCACCCTAACCAGTCAATGGTTCTAAAGCGTAGAGACTTGGGACCCAAACTCTGAGCAGTCCACCCTTCCTGTTTCGCCCTCTGCTTCTTTTAGCAGTGTATTTCAATAAATTCGCCTGGTATTTCCCATCTGTCTCTGGTGAACTCTTTCACCCCTGCAACAGGGCCTCCACCTTGATTCTTCCCCACAACATTCTATATCAATAATCTTTGTTAGATAGAGTGGTGTGATTTCTTATAAAAGAAGATGGAACCTAACCTCTTCAACTACACCAATCTTCCATCTACCCAAACCTCTACTCTTTGTTCTCTGAATTCAGCAAATAAAAATAAAACTTAAAAAAAAAAAGCATGGGCCTCCCCTAGTGGCGCAGGGGTTGAGTACTAGGTTGCGAAGCTGCCCACAGAATCTGCAGTGCAGGTTCAATCCCTGGCCACCAGCGAGGGTCTCACATGGCACCACAGAACTCTCCTGTTGTGCCCGCTGCTCCCCTCAGCAGTGTATTTCGTCACTCTGCCTATTCTGTTCTCTGCTCTGGCTCTGGTGAATTCTCTTACCCTCCCGCACTTCTGACTGTACCCAGGGCTTGTATAAATAAATACATAAATCTTTAAAAAAAAAAAAGCAAATAGCAATTACATCTACCAAGTTGCTCAAGATAGAAAGTTTGGCAGCATCTTTAATTTCTGTCTTTCCCTCACTTTCTATATCCATCCAAATCAGCCCTATTAGCTAACATCCTAAGCAAAGTACCACTCTGACCCACTCCTCTCTCTTTGTCTACTGCAAGTTTCTCCGTTGTTTTCCCTGTTGCATCTTGTTCTCCTACAATCTAGTTTCCCCAATGCAAAGAGATTTTCCTCAAACACAAATTATTCAATTCACTCCACTCGCCAACACCTCTCTCCATTTTCACAATTAGTTGAAGGTCAGGCCATCCCCCTGAATTAGGAAGTTCTGAGTGACTAGTTTCTGTGAATATCTTTGAGCTTGTCTCACAATTCCTTCTCCTTTGTCCACATGAAACACTGACCTCCTTTTTCTTACTGCAGGGTGATTCAGTCCTTTCTGCCTCTCTGTGCTCCCCTCTGCAATTGTGCTTTCTCCCAAACTTTGCTGTATGCATCCTGGTCTGTCAATAGAGTTCATATTGTCATTTATTGAAGTCTTATCATTTCCATGAAAGAATAATGTTTTCATAGCTTTACAGATACATACATTTTATTAAAAATATCCTGATGGGTTTCATATTTTGATGTTATCCTAAATGGCATTGAAAATTCAATTGGTTTGTTTCGATCCTTTGTACAGTTCCTATCACCATTTGTTATTTCTCTGTTGGATATTTTAAAACTTATTTATATTGCTTTTATTCCCTGCCACTGAAAAGTCAGTTTTATCACAACAGTTTTATCACAACAGTTTTATCTCTATATCTTGATCACTAGAACACTATCAATTCTACAAAAGTACAGTGTAGTTTCTCAATAATTAGTCATTGTTTCTTTTGAGTGAATATCATATATAGGTAACCTTGGAAAAAGTAATTAGCCTCTCTAAATCTCCTTCCTCAGATATTAATATATATGTAAGTGCACATATTGATATATGTAATATACATAGAATTAAAACAATGATACTTATACTTCCTGATATTTATCACTATTAAATCACTTTATTTTGGTTGAAGTGTTAAAAGCAACCTAAAAAACAAAGTATTCTGAATTTCCTAACATTTTTGTTTAGTTTTAAGCACACTGGTACTGTTATGACCTATTGGATTTGTTAGTATATTCCTTCTCAAAGGAACTTTTGTGCATATAGTATTATTATTTAATGTTATTTTTCTACTAAACTGACTGCATGACACAATTACAGCCCCCCAAAAAGAAAGACAGGCTGAAAAAGAATCCTGAAATTACCTCTTGAAAATTTTAGAATTTAAACCTTACTAGTTCATTGCAACAGCAGTAACTGTGCCTTTTTTTTTTTTAATTTTCTTAAAGATGTATTTTATTTATACAAGCACCGGGGTGCAGGCCAGATGCGCGGGAGGGTGAGAGGATTCCCCAGAGACAGCCTGGAACAGAACAGGCAGACTGACTGAAATCCACTGCTGAGGGGAGCAGCGGGCGGGGCAGGAGGGGTCTGCGCGCCACGTGGACCCTCGCGGGCGCGGCAGAGGCTGTGGACAGCTCCCCAGCGCGCGCCCAACCGCCTGCGCCCCCTGTTTGCTGTTCTCCCCACAGTGTGAGCGCGACAGTAAAGCATCTGCACAAGGCGGGGCCAGGATGGGGACGCCTGGAAAAGCCAAAACCCAGGCCGGGATTGCTCAGGACAGATGAAAGGGCCTCTCGGGCATTCCAAGGGTTGTCGTTAAGCGGCAGCTTTTTCGTTAAGGCTGAGAAACCGCTGGCGGTTCCCTCTGCCAATGGCTGTGGCCTGTGGCTCTGACGCCACAAAGAGCCCTTGTGACGGCACCGGCACCGCCTGCATCAGGCCCGCCCGGACTGCGCCTGTGTCCTCAGGAGCCGGGAAGCTCTGGACAGTGACCTGTGCACTCCGGACGCCGAGAGAGACAGTGAGAGCCTGTTTTGGGGTATTTGGTTTCCTTTGGGCTTATTTATTGTTTATTTATTTAATTATTTGTTTAGGCTATTTATTTTAGTTATTTTATTTTTCTTTCTTTGTTTTTTACCTTATTTTCCTTGTTTTTTTTTTTTTTTTTTGTATTTGCTTATAGTCAGGGCTGGTGAGGGTGGTCAGCGTAGTCAAGCGCACAGGCGCTATGTCCCAGGGACGTCAAGGGCAAAGCTACCTGGCGCTGCGGGAGCTGGGGCGGGGCTCCCACGCCAAGGTGACGCTGGCGCTGCATGCGCTCACGGGCACGAAGGTGCTCATCAGGGGCGTCCGCAAGTCCGAGGTGCCCGACCTCCGCCTCCTGGCCCGCGAGATGGGGTGCATGAAGGCCCTTCACCACCCGAACATCGTGGAGCTCTTCCAGGTGGTGGACACCGGGCCGGAGCTGCAGCTCGTCATGGAGTACGTGCAGGGGGAGGACCTGCAGGCCTTCCTGGACAGGCGTGGGCGCCTGGGCGAGCGCGAGGCCCGCCCGCTCTTTCGGCAGATCCTCGCGGCCCTCAGCTACTGCCATGCCAAAGGCATCGCGCACAGGGATGTGAGGCCTGAGAACATTCTGCTGACCGGAGAGGGGAAAGTCAAGCTGGTGGACTTTGGGCTCAGCGTCCAGGCCTTCAACCGGGCGCTGAGCACGTGCTGCTGTCGCCCAGAATACAGGGCCCCCGAGGTCTACCTTGGCCAGCGCTACAATGGCCCCAAGGTGGACGTGTGGAGCCTGGGCGTCCTTCTCTACAGAATGCTGACCGGCAAACTGCCCTTCAGGGCGCCCCACCTCCCGGCGGTCAGGGTGCGCGTCCTGGGCGCGTACCTCCAGCTGCCCCACTACCTCACGGAGCAGTGCCAGGACCTGCTGGCCAAAATGCTGGAAAAGGACCCCTGGAGGCGCTGCCCCCTGGAGTGCATCCAGCAGCACCCCTGGGTCGCAGAAACGAGCGAGGGACTCCTGCCCTTCAGCGAGCCGTGGCTCAGCCCCCAGGACCCGGCCATAATCAAAGCTATGGAGCGCCTGGGCTACGAGAGGCAGGAAATTCGGGAGGCCATTGACGCTGACAAGTACGACGAGGTCATGGCCACCTACCTGATCCTCCGCTCCAGGAAGCAGGCGGGGGAGGAGGACTATGAGGAGGAGGGGGAGGAGCGGCCCAAGCGCGTCACCTTCCGGGTGCCAAAGCGTGTCACCTTCCAGGAGCCCGGTGACCCCAATTACAAGGACAGCCTCCCGCAGCCTGAGGTTTCGGGGAATACCCCAAGGCCGGGTATCCTGCGAAAGCAGGAAGTCCAAAAGAGGGGAAAGGAAGCCACCCCGGGCAAAAGGGTCACCTTTGCAGGAGTCCCTGAGCTGGAGGACGCCCAGAAGCACACCACCGCCGCAGGGCCAGGCTCCCTGTTAGAGGACGCCCTGAAGGGCAGACCCTCTGCGCTAGGCCCGGTGCTGGAGGACGCCTGGGGGGACACCAGCACCTCTGTGGCCAGACCCCAGCAGGAGGACACCAGGGAGCACAGCAGCACCTCGGTGTCAGTCCTCCAGCTGGAGGACGCTGGGGAGCACGGCAGCACCACTGAGACAGGCCCCCAGCTGGAGAGGGACCAGGAAAGCAGGGCCAGCACGATCTGTCCAGCTCCCCAGGCCTCCAGAACCACCCTAACACCTCCCCCAAGACGTGGCTGGCCTTCCAGTGCAGTGGCCCCTTCAGCAATCATCAGGGCCAGAGATAGGGTATTAGATATTATCCTAGAATTTTGTTGCTGCTGTGCAACATTCGAATTGCAGAGCAACAAAGACTAAAAATAGCACCACACCAGACAAAAGCCTCCCCACCCCCAAAGCACAACCACTCAGTGGCCATGGGGAACAGGAGTACACCAGGGAAGGTTGAGGCTCTGGAGAGGCTCAGGGACTGGGTCCAGTCACAGGAGCCAGGAGGAGCATGAGACCCACGGGACTGCAGCACAGAAATCTGGGCAAAACCGATGTCCCTGGAGCACAGATGTCCCTGGAGCAGAGCAGGTGAAGGCCAGGAGGGCCACGGAACTGGTGAACCACCTGGAGGGGAGCAGAGCGGGTGAGTGGTGGGGTGTGGAGGGGCTGGGGAGAGCTGAGCAGGTACAGGGCCCCAGGAGGGGTATGAGGTTGTGTGGGTGGCCCCAGGGTCAGAGGCCCCAGGGCCAGAGGCAGGAAACCCTGGACCTCTCTCCCCCATCATAGGCTCAGTTCCCTGAGAACCATACTGCCCCCTTGCTGGGAGAGACCTGCTGCTCTATCTTGGGCACAGGGATGGCATAGAGGATGCAGGAGCTCTTGCAAAGGCTTGGGCCCAGGTGGTAAAACGTGCAGATTGCAAGGAGCAGATAGAGAAGGTCTTTAGCTCCCCTTAAGAAAGACTCGGGGACCAGTATATTAGAATCCAAACAGGACTTTTCAAGGTGGACAGAGTTTATTCACAGACCAGCCCTCCTCCACACGACCTGCTCAGCTGGAAAATCTGCACATCTTCCTACACCAGGAAGCCCTAGGCTATGATCAATCTCAGTCCCGCAGTGAGCATTGTCACCTCAAACTTTTGCAGCTTAGGATTCTTACACAGTGTCAGCCCAGCTGGAATTTCCCCTTTTAAAAATCCTCTCCAGACAGCCCCCCACCCCTCCTCCTCCCTGGATTCAAACCCTGCAGGGTGACCTTAGCCAAATTGGAAACGTTAATATCGCCCAACAGATGCAGGCTTTGGACACCAGTCTCTGCCAATTAAATCACTGGGTACAGGAACGAAAAGCTACAGGGGCTATCTACCTTAAATTGGTGTTTTTTCATCATTGTTTAGATGGTGTTCAATTCCCTTCTAAAACTAAGGTTTTGCTAAGTCTGGTAAATGCAAGTGAGGTGAGGTATGTGTGTTTGAAAAAAGAAATGTATGGAAGAGGGATATTCTGAAGGGCCTTAAGATTATGTAAAGCCGGATGGGTAAAATGAAATGGCATTAGAATGAAAGCAAGCAAAAGAAAGTGTTGAAGGTCTGAGAGGGAGATTTTGGTGAGAAATCGTGTGTACTCAGGTGCCTCCCCCTCCTCTAACACATTCGTGGGCTTGCTCATCTGACCAGCAAAGCCCCCTCTGATCACTACCTCGTCAGCCAAATGTGGGGCCAGGACATCATGGATCCTGCCCCTAGTAGGCCCAGTGATCATGATTATGCTTTTCTTTGTTTCTGCACCCTGATTGCTCTGCTTTATCCAGGCAAAGCTCTCTGACATGAGCCTTCACTCTCCTAGACCCGGGAAAGCCATTCCTGTAATTGAGAGAGGAGCAACAGGGCATTGCTCTAGGGGTTCTGGGCCAACCTGGGCTGTCCAGCGACCAGTTGCTTATTTCTCTAAACAAATGGATCCCACTGTAAGAGGATGGCAGCCCTGCCTGCACGCACTTGCGGCAGCTGCTCGTCTCGCTAGACAGGCCTTAAAACCCACACTGGGCCAACCTGTAAATGTTAGTTCTCCACATCGGCTCCTGGACCTGCTCACTCATCAGGCTCTCTCCCCTCCATCACCCTCTTGTCTGTTAGATTTCTACTCTCTTTGTCAAAGACCCTCTCATCTCCCTCTCCCAATCCTCGACTCTCCATCCTGCCAGGCTTCACGGGTGTTCCACTCCCTAATGCAGGTAACACCCTCTTCTTACTGCAGTGGACACCATCACCAGTCGCACAATGGACCTGCCTTTATCTCAAAGATTACTCCACAGGTCTCCTCCCTGGGCATCACCTGGGAACTACACATTCCCTCCTGACCACAATCCTCTGGTAAGGGAGCACGGGTTAATGGTCTGACCAGAGACCACCTAACCAAATTCTCTACTGAGCTGTGGAAATCCTGCGTGGAGCTGCTCCCACTGGCTTTAATGCACCTCCGAGCCACCCCTTGTGGCCCCTTGTTCCTGACCCCCCTTGAACGGATGTGTGGCAGACCTCCTCTTACTAACCATGAGCTCCCCGTCCAACCTTCGCTGTTGGCTGGATATTTTTCGTACTTCTCTTTGCTCAGACAGCTGCTCCAAGAACACGCACACCATTGTCTGCCACAACCTGTGCCTCCGTCCCCTGATGCACCTGTCAACCTGCTGTGTCCTGGAGACCAGGTTCTTCTGAAAGCCATCTCTCCAAAACCACTTCCGCCAAAGTGGATGGGTCCACACACGATCATCCTGACTACACCAATGGCTGTCAAGGTCTTGGGCAACACGTTCTGGCATCAGCTTTGCAGGTTCAAACCAGTCCCTGTGGACAAGCAGTATGTATGCGAGTGCTGGGCCCAACTCGGGTACACATCACTGCGCCCCTGGTCCAGGTTCCACTCAGCCTACAGAGCAGAGGCCCTCTGACTCTCCCTCCTCTGTTTCTAATCCAATCACTTCAAGCCACTTCCAGTTCTTCTGTCTATGCCTGGAGATTCCTATCAGCACAGCCTCAGGCAAGGTATTAGCACTCACAGGGCCTCTGATCCTAACCTTATTTTTTCTTTTTGCCCCATGCTTACTGCATTTCATCCAACACGGGATCCAAGATCCGCCCCGTAGCACCTTTCACCAACTCCTCCACCCATATCCTCGTGTCCCTGCAAAGACCTTCTCATAACCAGGCCTGAGCCCCCACCCCGCGGGCAGTGGGATGGGTGTTTCTCACAGCTCTGCTTGAGTCCAGGCAGAAAGAGCAATCTAGAGTCCAGCGAGTATGGGATGAGATGCGGGAAAAGATGCGAAAACTACAATGTTTGAGGATTCTGGAGGATGCCAGACTCCCGCTCAGAAAGGAAGGAGAGGGAGGCTGGCCCTTTGCCCGAATCGCAGCTGGTGGTGGCAAACCAACCTGCGACTCCAGAGATGCCAGACTCCTCCTCAGGACAGGAGGATAGGGAGGCTGGCCCTTTGCCCGAGTCCCAACTGGCGATGGCAAACCAACCTGCGACCCCAGAGATGCCGGACTCCTCTGGAGAGGAGGTGGAGGCTGGTCCCATGCTCCGGGCCCACCAAGTGGTGACTCAGAAATAAAGCGGCAGCCACCCATGGCCCCAGGTGGGTGGTCAGGCTGCTGGACCACCACAAATGACAGAATTTACTTCCTATCAAACATACACCCAGGCAGAACTGGTGGACTTGGGCAAACAGTTTCCACCAGAAACCAGGGGAACCCTTGGCAGCCTGGCTGCTACATTTGTGGGGCCTGGGGCTGGAGGGGATTATTTGCACAGCACAAGTGATGGAGATAATGGCCTCCATGGCTTTACACCCATCCTTGCGATAGAGGCTACAGAACAGCCAGCGGTATGGCCAGGGCGACCACACCCTCCGGGAATGGATAATGGCTGCCACACGGAAAGTCTGGCTGATGCAGGAGACGTGCCGGACACAGTAAGTGGATGGCAGACGTACGCCGAGCTGGTACAGGTCCTTCGGGAATTGGGGATTCAGCAGGCCATGTTTAATGTGAATTCCCGTGGTCCTGATGATGAGCGTTTCACAGCAGGGATGAGAGACTTGGTATTAAAAATGTCCCTCATCCTCATTTGGATCCCTCATGGCAGTTGTAGCACCCCATGTGAGTCGTCAGCTACACGACGTCCCAACAGTGATAGCCAGCTTGGGCGAAGTTGAGAGCCGGTGCTCTCAAAGTCAGAAGGGAATATGGGTAGTTGTTGAAAAGTCAAAAGGAATGCCAAGGAGGGAAAGGAAGCTTCTTGGCACCACAGAACTTAGTAAAGTCACCCATAACCAAATGTGGACAGATTTAGTGAGAGCAGGTGTAGATAGCAGTAAAATACATGCACAGCCCAATCTATATTTGTTGGAATTATGGCAGCAGCTACACGAAGACCAGAGGTTCACGCCCATGAGAAGGACTGCTGCTCAGAGGGAGCCTGGAAGCTCCAGGCCTCAGGCACACGCCCTGTGCCTGAAACATACTTGCTGCCAACCCCATCCTCGGGTGATGGCCTGATTGCTTTCAAATAGGGTGAGGGCCAAGGAACCCGTCCACAGGGGATGGGCGGGGACCGGAGGCCACATGTGGAGCTTGCCATCCACTGGTCCCCAACTAACATGCAAAGGGTTTTAGCTCTGGCAGACACAGGAGCAGAATGTACTCTGCTATATGGAAATCCAGAAAGATTTCACAGGTCTACTTGTATTGATGGCTATGGAGGCCAGAGTGTCAAGGTGACAGCAGTGAGACTATCTCTGGGGATTGGGCCATTACCCCACAAAAGAGTATAAAGTGTATGTATCGCCTGTCCTGGAGTACATCCTGGGGGTGGATGTACTATGTGGCTTATGGCTAGAGACCACAGCCGGAGAGTTTCACCTTAGAGTGCGTGTGGTAAAGGCAGTGGTGAGAGGACACGCTAAGCATCTGCCCACACAACTGCCAGTCCCTAGGCAAGTGACTAATACCAACCAATATCAGTTGCCCGGAGGCTACAAGGAAATTGGCACAATATCAGAACTGGAGAAAGCGGGCATTGTGCGTACTGCCCACAGCCCCGACAATTCACCGGTGTGGCCAGTGAAGAAGCCGATGGCTCTTGGCGCATGACAGTAGATTATCATGAGTTAAATAAGCTAGTTCCCGCCTTGCATGCTGCAGTGCCTTCGGCAGCAGATTTGGTGGATCATCTGCTGGTGCCAATGAATGTCTTTTGCCACTAGGTGGTACCTCGCCTGGACTAACTTGTGTTCTGTTGTCTTTTGTTGTTATAGTGTGATGTGTACTATTTACTTTGTGGGCCATGGCTGCGTTGTTTATGTTTGCTAAGAACAAAATTGTCTATATGTAGATGGTCTGGCAGAAAACCCTGAGGGGGTGGATTGTAGGGTAAGGTAAAAAGCATCAGGCTTTTCTGCTCTCCGCCATTAGGAGAGATGCGCATCCTGCGGGCCTGAACGCAGGCCTGATGGCGGCACCTGGAGTAGTGGTGCGGGTCGAGGATGGAGGGGACAGTGGAGTGTGCGGAGGAGAGCGGCGACTACAAACAAGGGCGAGGAGCATGTGGCTGCTAGAACCGTTCATAAACACACCTGGAATGGGTTGGTTGCGTTACAGCGGGTCCTGGGGTTCACTCTGGGAAAGGTGTCTGCAGAGCTCCCCTGTCAGTGGCACGCGGCGAGTTTCCCAGGCGAGTTTCTCCCCGAGACAGAGACGATAGTTATATTTAAAAAACAGGTTTATTGGGGAAAGGGAAAGGGGCAGGTTTTGCTGAGAGAGGCCTGCATGGTTGAAGGCGGGCAGCCTTGACAGGTCATAGGCGGGCAGGAAGCTGCTGCCCTGCAGAGGGAGAGAGTTGGTAAGAAGAGGAACCTACACACCCAGGTGGCAGAGGGAGTGCTGCCCCGAGCCAGTGCAGAGACTTTACAGACACAGTCCTCTTCTGTTTGGGGGGGTCACTCCTTGTGAGCCGTCAGTTGGTTGCTGATTTTGGATAACCACGCAGAATCCAAGAGGGACTGGAGATACCAGGATGGGGAGTGGAGATTCCAGGATGGGCCCAATCTCCAAATCTTTCCCTCAGGCCTGTGCTCCACTCCCTAGAGCATCTGATCCTGCTTGGGTCTCATGCCTTGTGATAGGCCCTGGTGCCTAAGGGTCACGACCTCTACAGCTGAGTTAATGTCATGCTATTTCCCTCTATCCCTACCTCCTTGTGAGTCAGGTTCTGGTGTCAGGGTACCTCCTTTCCAATCTTTCTATTCTGTCTGCTATTAAGGTATTCCTATTTTGTGAGGAGGGGAAGCTGGGTCCCGAATGCTGGGTGAGTATGAGTAATGGCTCCTATAGCAATCAGAGAAT